GAGTCTGCCGACGAAGCAGCCGGGCAAAGCTGAATCGCCGAAGGAGTCAGGTAATCGGGTGAGTCGGTGGTTACAACGTCAACACAAGAAACTTAATTCAGGGACACCTCACGACCAACATGGTGTAGAAAATGGAAAATGAAGATAAATACAAATTAGTCGACATCGAAAGTTTTCACTCTCCGATTTCCAGCCTCCCCACTCCCACTAAAATTCGATTAAATAATATGAAGGTGCTCCACAACCACCATCCATTATCTAGGCGTCCTAATGGATACTAGATTGACATGGAAAGACCAAGTCGCCTCCAAAGCGAATGAAGCCAACAGGCACTTAGGTATTCTTCGACCAGTAATTAACAGACCAGTAAGAACCTCGTCTATGTACCCGACTCCCCTTTCATCTTTCTCCGGAATCTGACTGACATTAGATGGTATAAACATCCTCCCATCAGTCAACAACGACATTACTTCCACTTTAATACTCATTATGTTTAAAGGGAGGTCGCCTTAGCCATTCCCTTCGAATATTTTTCGTCTGAAAATACTCGCCCCTAACAACCGAAAAAGTGTATAATCACCCCATTCTGCAATAAATAAATAAAATTCACGAATACAATGAAGCAAATTTCAAATCATTGGTTGTGCCTTTTCCTCTCACACGCATAATGTTTAAAGGACTTACAGTTCATGAATTTATAATTCATTAAACAATGTTTCATAGAATATCATGTATTTTGTTAGTTTATGAATTGAAATGACGAAATTAACTTTAAAAAGTTATTTAAAAATGATTTATTTATAATAAAATACTTAGAAATAATTCACTCGGTCAAATTAGAAATAATTGTTAGTAGAATTCTACATTGGCAATTTCTTGGACGCGATAACTTTTTTCCCTGGAATTGAAATTTGAATTGAATTTTTTAGAAAGTGTTTCCCAGGGTGTTCTTAGAACTTGCGGTGATCGATTGAAAGGACTCACTGAGACATCCAAAGGAGAAATCTTACCTAGAACACTTTTTACTTCTCGCACTTACTAACGTAACACGAGAAAGCATTGTAATCGTGCGCCGGAAAAAGAGCGAATTTTTCACACAAAACTCTTATCGTCGGACCCTGGTATGGAAAATGTGGATAAATCTAGTTGGTAAATATAGGAAAAAATCCTCTAACGCGTGGTGTAGCCAGAAACCACATTTTGTGGATCATTGATACCGAAAAATCGATTGACTGCAAAACGTCTGTGTGTCAGTCTGTGCCCAACGCTAGCTCATAAACCGTTCAGCCAATTTTCTCCAAATTTGATATTTTCCAATCGTTGCAGCTGATGTTTGACCCTCGAGTTTGCAACCGAAATTTCAATTGCAGAGAGTATTTTACATGAAACATCAGCAACAGTTTCAAAATTTTCAAAAAAGTAGCTCTTTTTTTTATTAAAGTTCATTGTTGAATGGTGCAAAAGACGTTTAAGAGAATGGTGAAGATCTCATTGTTGTTGACATCCCCCATTTTTCAAAAACCGGAAAAGAAATAAAAACTTAAAAATTGAAGAAGTCTGTAGTACAAAATCAGCGCTTTAAAACACATGTACTTTTTTTTTTGAAATACGGGTAGTTTTTGCGTACTTTGCGATTCTACCACAATAGAACTTCTCAAAATCAGCTCCAAATTTTTTCTTTAAATTTTCTTCACATATATAATAAGAATCGGTAAGAAATATAGCGCTAGTCTCATTTTCAGAAATTGATAGTTTTATTCAAAATTTGCAAAGAAAATTCAAAACTAGAAAATTGAAGATAGATTTTTGTTTCAAAGTCTGTTGTATAAAATTAGCTCTTTAAAAAAGGTCATGAACAAGTTTTTGAA